TAGAATGGTATATAAGTTAGTTGTCAATCTTGTTATCAGGGGAGGGCATTTAAGGTAGCCTCTCCACAGTTGCTTAGATGGTTAGTTGGTATCATCCTTGTAGATCTCTGGACATTTCCATAGTGCCTGATTTTGCTTTAAACCTATGCTGGCTCCCTCTTGATAGTATCTCTTATTTTAATTTTTTTAAAGAAAATGTACCACATGTCAATCTGGTGAATACATTTCCTCAGTTGAAGTTCCCTATTCCAAAATGAATCTAGCTTGCATCAAGTTTCCATACAAACAAAACAACCCCACACACAAGGCTCAGGGAACATTGTGGAAGCAGGGGCAGCAAAAAATGTAATTGCCAGTTTTCCGTGAGACTGTGTCTTGTAGTAATATCAGGAGCTACACTCATGGAGTCTCACCAACAAGACTCATTAAACATGAGATGAATAAGGACAACAGCAATGAAATACTAAATATGGGAACAGGAAAGCTCATGAGACCTCAATCCTACAAAAAGAATTATTTATAAGCACCCTAGGAATGCTGAGAGTGGGACAAATAGTTTCCCCGGGGAAGATCACAGCAACTGGTTATCCAAAATTAACTGTCTGGCCATGAAACTTATGCACAAGTATCATTTTACAGACTGAGTAGGTTATACATATACACATGTAACAACATGTCAGAGAAAGAGAGCAAGCAGAGGTATATGGGAGGTTTTGGAAGGAGGAAATAAAGGGGAAATGATATAGTTGTGGTAAAATTTCTAAAATAAATAATTGTGAAAAAAACAGCCAGCACAGTAATACTATTAATTATTTACTTAAAAGCTAGCTAGCATAGCACAAACAGTTAATCATTTATTTAAAATAATAAAATATTTATTTAAATAAAAATCATTTATTTAAAATCTTAAAAGCTAGCTAGCATAGCACAAACAGTTAATCATTTATTTAAAATATCTATAATACATGTAAGCTGTTGTATAAATACAAATAAAATTTTTAAATGATGTTTTTCCATCTTGGCTAACAATGCTTCTTCCAACAGCTATACACAGTCTAACAATAACTCCAACATTAGGTATGAAAGGTTGCCACAACCAGCACAGCTGTGGGCATCATGGGGGCCAGGAATAGAGCTAGAAAGACGTAGAAAGAGACTCAGGGGTGGGTTTATATCAATAATGAAGAATTATTATTTTTCACACTGCTTCAGGGGATCTTTTTTTGATCAAACCGTATTACCCTGGAAGGAATCCACAGCTTTTCATCTTCTGTGGAAACAAAAGCAGAACCTCATTTCCAAAGTAACATGTCCTTAGACTTAAATTTTAGAGTCAAGGCATTTTCAAAATATATAGGTTGGATTAATCCAGCACCATTCATAATCAAATGTTTTTAACAGCTGTTTCTCCTTCCTTAGCAGTCAAATAATTCAAAGAAAACACAATGAAATACTATAACCACATATTATTAATATGGCAAGGTGATAAATGAAGGAAAATGAAGAGTCTTCCCAAAGAATTTCCAGTAATAAACTGAAAGTAATATTAGAATCAAGAGTATATCCTGTACTCTTTAAGATATAAGTGAATAAAAATAATGTTTGACAACAATGCAACAAAAGACAACATACATTATGTATTTACAAAACATTGCCTATAAAGTGTAACTACCAATAAGAAAACATTTACATGAACACAATTCTTCTAATAAGAATATGACTTCATGATGAGGAATATCAGATAACTGGATTTATTATTCTATCCTCTATACCACTGCATAAAGTTTAGAATATTTTCATTGAAATATTTATTATATTACTCTAAATACACAAATTTAATTTAAATGAGTATAAAAGTCTACAGGGAAATAAAATCTTGAACTTAAAAAGAATTTCAAATTGTAGTTCTGTTCTACAAGTTCATGAATATCTAATATAGCGGTACATAAGAGAAAATAGTTTACATTGTGTTTTGTTGAAAATGGGTGAAACAAGATCAAGAGGGTGAATTCCCATTAGATAGTAGTACCTAGTGCTCCCCCAAGAGGTAAAAACAAATGATACCATGTGCAGGAGTAAATACCAATTTTAAAAAATTAAGTTTTAAGTGTTGGTAAATCAATCAATGACAGTAACTACTTAAAACATTTGATGGAATATATATCTTTTAAAACATCAAGAAGGGCCTAGGCCTAGCCCAAAAGATATGACAGTCTCTTAAGACTAACCCTATGGAAGGCCTCACCCTCCCTGGGGAGCAGAAAGGGTATGGGATAGGTAGGGAATTCGTGGGGAGCAGGGGAGGAGGGGAAGGAGAGGGGACTGAGATTGCCATGTAAAACAAACTTTTTCTAACAAATAAAAAAATGGAAAAATAAAACTTCAAGAATATTTGAAATATACAAAATATAAAGCTAAATAAAAATGTAAAAATTCTTACTGAAGCAGATATAAAAGGAAAGAAATGTCTACATCAGAGATGTATGCTGGTCATTTGCTACATATGAGAACATTGTAAAGATGTCAATAATTCTTTTTCACATATTTATTGTTTAACATTAATGACTATAATAATGACATCCACCCTTAAGAGGATATTTCCATGAGTGAAATTAACCATGAAAAAACCATGGAGGAAATAAAAGAAATATTAATAATTAAGAGCAGTGCCATACAATATGTATAGAACTAGATCCTGAGTAGGAATGGGCCTGAAGCAGAAGTGGGTCTGAAACCCACAGAAGCAAATGACAGAAGTGACTGCAAGAAAACTTTCCAGGAAACGTAAGTTGAGAGATTATGGCAGTAAACACATAAAGGATGTTTAAAGGATGATTACTAGTTGTTAATTTTTCTCATTTTGATAAAATATACCAACAAGTCTAAAGTAAAAATACCAAGTATTCTAACTACACCTGATATGAGTAGAAACTCAAGCCTCAAATGTTGAACATACCATGATGCCAAATAATATAGAACCCAACCATGGATGTTAGGTTGAAAAGGACCTTTAGTTTTATATTATGTGGTATTGCAGAACACCATGTTTAGAGGACAGAAATGATTCCATATCAGAAAAGGTTGTACTTCCAAATAACAAAGGACCCCATAGGTATGTGTCTTCTCATATTGATTTACCTACAACAGTCAGTTAAAGCAGAAGTGGTCACATGAAGCATTCAGTAATTCATATCAACAGTCTTAAGATTAGGCCCTTACTCTGGGTGGTTGGCTTTAAATTCTTAAGGATTTCAGTAGGGAAGTAGCTGAACACCTACATATAATCAAGACAAGAACTTATATGTCCAGGCCTGCAATCCTATCACTCAAGAAGCAGAGGTAGGTAGATTGTTGTTTTGAAGTCACCCTGAGTTACACAGCAAGTCTGAGGCTATATTGGACTACATAACTAGAAGCTGCCTCAAAATTAAAATAAAAAATACTAAGAAAAAACTAATATATAATTATAAAATTTGTAAAAAGCAAGCATTGTGGTACATTACTGTTAACTCTGGGGTCTAGATGCTGAGGAAGGATGCTAAGGAGTCCCAGGCCAGCCATTCCCAGAAAGAAAGGAGAGATAACTTTTCAATGGCAGAGGGCTCTATCTTCAAACAAAATTGTACTCCTGGAGCCCTATCCATAATTTATGGTAAGGTGGTGGGCATGAATCCTAGTCTCAAAATTTCTTCATCTTCCTTCCTATTCAGGACTATGATGGAAATGAGATACTTAGTTCCTCATTCAGCCCATTCAAGAGGTATCCTAGTCCCTTGAAAAATCAACAGGAAAAAAATAATTTTTTTCTAGCAACTATTTCCGCCCCCCCACCGAACAATGGAACGGACCACCCTTTGTATTCTATTCCAAGACATAGAAAAGGGTGGGGGAGGGGAACAGGAAGTATATGACTCTGACTTCCGCTTCCCCAGCCTGCCTGGGGCAAGGCCTTCGTCTGAGAGGTGCGGCCTCTGATCAAGTAAGAGAGTCCTCTAAGTGTTGTCCTGTGCCTTGGGGGATAATCTGAAATTAAGTGGTGACAACCCTAAACCGCTGGGAATCCCCTTAAACTATAATTCATACTCCTGGAAAGGAGGCCCTGCCCCTACTTGTTGTCATCTCCAGAATTCTGGAACTTGGTTGTTAGGGACGGAGGCCATTTTCTTTACCAACAGATCTCTCAGGGAATGACGTCTCAGGTATGAGGCAGGTTGACTTAGACAGCAGAAGGGGAATTCTTGGAACTGGCTGTGTTACAGACAGGCTCATTGTTAAGATTAAGGGAATTCCATGTTCCATAAGAGGTTGGGAAGGGGCACAGACACCGGAACTCTGTATGATGGCATGTGCACATCAGGGAAGCCGCCCCCCTTCCCCCCCATGATATACTACCTCCATTTGTTTCTGATAGAATAGAGAGATCCGACCTTTGTTACTAGGGGCCTTTTCTGGTAAGGACTTTGCTTATTGTGGGACTCATATTCTTGGTAACAGTAAGGGCTCTAGAATATCTCCTCTCATGCCAGCACTAAGAGTTCTGAGGTCCCTTGAATAAAGTGACAAGTAGTGAATTTTGTAGTATGAACTTCAGAGTAACAGAAAGAAGTGGGTATTCAGACTTTAACAACCAGGGATACATACATGGCTGGGAATGTAAACCATGAGCATTTTGATTCTTATTCAGGGGGGACAGCTTGTTCTCTCACTTTAGGAATACTCAACCTGGGCTATCATACAATAGTCTAACAAACTAATTTCTTTTCCAGGGTTCTCGGGAATCAAGCTGATCAGGAGAGCAGGAGTCCTGACCAAGCTAAACAAGAGAACAGGAACACGGTATGTTGCCCTTTAGGAAAGCAGTGAAGGAGGCCTTCCTAAAAGTAAATGTATTCTTTACTTTGTGATATGATGCTCACATGTTGTCTTTCTATCCTTCCAGGTTCCTGCCTTGACAGTTCTCCTAACTAAAATCCTGACTGTTGTCTTTGACTCCTGAAGTCATGCCTAGGGCCCACAAAAATAAGGGCCAGAAGAGCAAGGGCCGCTCCCGTGCCAAACATCATCAAGCACATGGGGACAGCCAAGGTGCTCAACTTTCTGTAGTGGGACAATCAGCATCTCCTCCTAGTGTCCAAGGTAATTCCCTAAGCACTTCTAATGCCCACACTCCTCAGGGAGCTGCATTTTTGCCTCTCCTGATGCAGATATGTCCTACACAGGTTCTGATCTAGGTGCTGCAAGTTCTGATGCTCGTGCTGTTGATGAAAATCCACGTGCCTTTCAGGCCGAAACCTACAATCAGCCAATATGCAAAGATGCTCTTACCAAGAAGGCTAGCATGTTGGTTGAATTCCTGCTCGAGAAGTTTCAGAAGAGTGAGGAGTTTACAGATGAAGATATGCTGAAGGTCGTCAACAAGAAATATAAAACACAGTTTTCTGACATCCTCAGGAAATCTTCCTCCCGCATGGAAATGATCTTTGGAATGCGTTTGAAGAAAATCAATCCCAATAGTCAGTCCTATGCCATAGTCAGCAAGCTAGGTCTCTCCACTGATGAAATTCTAAGTGGCAGGAGGGGGTTGGCAAAGATGGGTCTCCTGATGACCATCTTGGGTCTGATATTCACAAAAGGCAATCGTGCCACTGAGGAAGATGTCTGGAAATTCCTGGGTGTGTTAGGAGTATATGCAGGGAAGAAGCACTTGATCTTTGGGGAACCCCGAAAGCTCATCACCAAAGATCTGGTTGAGCAAAATTACCTTGAAATCCACAAGATGTCTGAGGGCAAATCCACAAAATATGAGTTCCTGTGGGGTGACCGGTCCCATGTAGAAACCAGCAAAATGAAAGTCCTAGAGGTTTGGGCTAGGATCAATGACACCGTTCCTAGCTTCTTCCCTACTCCATATGAAGAAGCTCTTAAAGATCAAATGGAGAGAGCACAACAGGGATCTCCAGCCATGGGTTGTCCAGCTGCCATGGCCAGGGTTCATCCCATGTGCATGTGCTGCAGCTCCTCTCACAAATAGTTGCAACCAAGATTGAGCTTTCACTTCCTGTTTGAAAAGTAGTCAGCCTTCTTTGTAGTGGAGGGTTTATGGGTCACAGGAATAAAGCATATATTGTCTTTTTTTCTATTATACAATGAGAAAATGATATGTATAATTGTTTTGGTGAATTGAAAATGTTCCATTAATGGAAAATTAATTTGTTTCGCAATCTTTGTTTCTTGATGTTATGCTTGACACATTTATTGCTGCATTTCAATTTTACAACCAAAGAGTTCTGTCACTTTAAAAAGCAACTGAAAAATTCCACAAATTTCTTTCTAGTGTTGCCTAAGGTAACATGAAATTGTAAAAGTGATTCTCATGGAAATGTAATATCACACATTGGTGAAACAAATACAATGATAAATTCCTAATTGGCTGCATGGTTTGTGTGTTGTTTGTAATATCAACTGACACAACCTCGAATTTGATTACTTAATGTACAAACTAATAAATTATAAAAACTTCTTAATGCTTTCATTGCTTCATTTTTTTCAAAGCATAGTTGAGCATTTGTTCTTTGGATCCCCAACAAAATTCAGTCAGCACTCAAGATGATTTTAAAGCCTAGTTATAGCTACAAATGAAGAAGAGGGTGAGATTCAACGTGAAGACTAGTAAAAGATAATATGAAGAACTCAAGATTTCAGACACAGGACAAGTGTAAATTTTTTGGTGAATGTAGTTTGGAGCATTAGGAATTCCCATATTCAGTGCACAAAGTTTTAAGTGATGCTCTATAGTGGGCTAAGTGAAAATGTGGGGGTGGTGATCAAGGCCTGTACCCCCAGGTATCATATCTCCCAGCAAAGAGACTGGAACAGAAAATACATCTTAATCATTTAATTGGAACTTTAAATGTACCAGAAGTAAGTGTCTATCTGATAAGAATGCAGAGCCTAAGTGATTGCCCTAGTCCAGGTAAATATGCACAAAGTCTATACACATGGTGTCCTAAGATTGTCTGACAAATGTTAATAATACTACTCTGAGAAGAGGATCAAGAAACAACTGAGTTGGCATTCTTGGTATAGGCTGGTAGATCTATATTCTATTTTAATAAAAGAATGTGATTTGTGTTTGTATGTATACATATATGTGAGTGTGCAAGTGTGTGGTACATGAACACACACATGTTTTTGTGCACTCTTGACCAGAGTCCAAAGAAAAACAATGCAAATCCTGCTCCATCATACTCATTTTTATATGCTTGAGACAGGATCCCTCACTGAATGTGGAGTTAGGCTAGTAGCCAGAAACCTACATGGATCCTCCTGTACCTGACTCTTCCTCCCAACAGGTATGAGACTGTAGTTGCATTTTATATACCTAGAGTTTTACATGGGTATTGAGTATTTGAACTCAGGCTCTCATGGTTGTATATCAAGAGTTCTTCTGACTAGGCCATATTCCCATCCTGCAAGAGGACATACATTTTTTTTCGTTTTTTCTCCATTTTAAAAATTTAAATTAGAAACAAGATTGTTTTACATGTCAAAGTTCCCTTTCCCTCCCATCTTCCTCTGCCCCCACTAACACCCTACCTATCCAATATATTTTCTGCTCATCAGGGAGGGGGAGGCCTTCCATGGGGGAGACTTCAGAGTTTGTCATATATTATTTGATATGGACTAGGCCCTTCCCTGTGTGTCTAGGCTGAGGGAGTATCTCTCTATGTGAAATGGGCTCCCAAAGTCTATTTCCATAATATGGATAAATCTTGATCTACTAGAAGAGGACCCATAGACATCCAAGGCCTCCTTACTGACACCCACATTCATGGGTTCCATGCTGGTTTCCCAGTGATCAGACAAAGGACAAAGAGCAGCCCCTTATCAGGTCAGATGTTTCTGTGGTTTTCACCAGCCTGGTCTTGACCACTTTGCTCATCACTCCTCCTCCTCTGTAACTGGATTCCAGTTCAGTTCAGTGTTTAGCTGTGGGTATCTGCTTCTACTTCCATCAGCTTCTGGATGAAGGCTCTAGGATGGCATATAAGTAGTCATCAATCTCATTATCAGGGGAGGGCATTTAAGGTAGCCTCTCCTCTTTTGTATGTAGATGGTTAGTTTGTGTCACCATTGTAGATCTCTGGACATTTCCCTAGGGCCTGATTTCTCTTTAAACCTATAATGGCTTCCTCTATTATACTGTCACTTATTTTGCTCTCCTCTATTCTTCTCCCTGTACAACCTTCCTGCTGCCTTATGTTCTCTTCACCCCTCCTCTTCTTCCCTTTCCATTCTCCTAGCTCTCTCTCCCCTCCCCCATTTCTTCCCCCAACTCAGTCTTCCTAATCCCTCATGTTCTCCCTACTCCTCTTCGTCCCTTCTCTTTCTCCTAATTCTCACCCTCTCCCTCCCTCAACCCCGTGCTCCCAATTTGCTCAGGAGATCTTGTCCCTTTCCCCTTCTCTGGGGGACTCTTAGAGTACTCCTTGTTTCCTAGCTTCTCTGGCAATGTGGATTGTGGGCTGGTAATCATTTGCTCTATGTGTAAAATCCATATATGAATGAGTGCATACCATGTTTGTCTCTTTGTGACTGGGTTACCTCGCACAGAATGGTTTCTTCTAGTTCCATCAGTTTGCCTTTGAATTTCAAGTTTCCATTGTCTTTTTCTGCTGAGTAGTACTCCAATGTATAACTGCACCAAATTTTCTCTATCCATTCTTCAGTTGAAGGGGATCTAGGTTGCTTCCAGGTTCTGGCTATTACAAATAATGCTGCCATGAACATTGTTGAACAGATGCCCTTGTATGAATGTGAGTCTTTTGGGTATATGCCTAAGAGTGGAATTGCTGGATCTTGTGGTAGACTGATTCCCATTTTCCTGAGGAATCACCATACTGATTTCCCAAGTGGCTGTATGAGTAGGCACTCCCAGCAGCAGTGGAGGAGTGTTCCCCTTTCTCCATATCCTCTGCAGCATAAGTTATCATTGGTATTTTTGATTTTAGCCATTTTGAGAGGAGTAAGATGGTATCTCAGAGTTGTTTTCATTTGCATTTCCCTGATGGCTAAGAATGTTGAGCACTTTCTTATGTGTCTTTCAGCCATTTTAGATTCCTCTATTTAAAATTGTCTATTTAGTTCTGTACCCCATTTTTTAATTGGATTGTTTGGTGTTTTGGAGACTAGCTTCTTGAGTTCTTCTTTGTAAATTTTGGAGGTCAGCCCTTTGTTGGATATTGGGTTGGTGAATATCATTTCCTATTCTGTGGGCTGCTGATTTGTCTTGCTGAATGTGTTCTTTTCCTTACAGAATCTCCTCAGTTACAGGAGGTCCCATTTATCAATTGTTGATCTCAATGTCTGTGCTACTGGTGTAATGTTCAGGAAGTGGTCTGTACCAATTCCTTCAAGGGTATTTCCCACTTCTTCTAAGAGGTTCAGTGTGGGTGGATTCATGTTGAGGTCTTTGATCCATTTGGACTTAAGTTTTGTGCATGGGATAGACATGGATGTAGGGATCTATCTGCAGTCTTCTACATGCCAGCATCCAGTTATGCCACACCATTTGTTAAAGATGCTTTCTTTTTCCCATTGTATATCCTTAGCTTCTTTGTCAAAAATCAGGTGTTGTTATGTGTGTGAATTAATATCTAGGTTTTCAACTGGATTCCATTGGTCTACCTGTCTATTTTTTGCCAATACCAAGCAGTTTTCAGGACTGTCGTTCTACAATAGAGCTTGAAGTCAAGGATGCTGATGCCTCCAGAAGTTCCTTTATTGTACAGTATTGTGTTGGCTATCTTGGGTCTTTTGTTTCTTCTTATAAATTTGAGTATTGTTCTTTCAAGGTCTGTGAAGAATTGTACTGGTATTTTGGTGGGGATTGCATTGAATCTGTAGATTTCTTTTGGCAAGATTGCCATTTTTAGTATGTTGATACTACCTATCCAAGAGCATTGGAGATCTTTCCATTTCCTGGCATCTTCTTTAATTTCTTTCTTTAAAGACTCAAATTTCTTGCTATACATGTCTTTCACTTGTTTTGTTAGTGTTACCCCAAGATATTTTATGTTGTTTGTGGCTATTGTAAAGGGTGATGTTTCTCTGATAGCATTCTCAGCACTATTATTGTCTGTATATATTAGGGCTACTGAGTTTTTTGAGTTAATCTTGTATCCTGACACTTTGTTGAATGTGTTTATCAGCTGGAGGACCTCCCTGGTAGAGTTTTTCTGATCACATATGTAAACTATCATATCATCTGTAAACAGTGAAAGTTTGACTTCTTCTTTCCAATTTGTATCCTTTTGATCTCCTTTTGTGGTCTGATTGCTCTATCTAGCACTTCAAGTACAATATTGAAGAAATATGGAGAGAGTGGACAGCCTTGTCTTGTTCCTGATTTTAGAGGAATGGCATTGAGTTTCTCTCCATTTAGTTTGATGTTTGCTGTTGGTTTACTGTATGTTGTTTTTATTATGTTCAGGTATGTTCTTGTTATCTTGATCGATCTAGGACCTTTATCATGAAGGGGTGTTGGATTTGTCAAAGGTTTTCTCAGCATCTATTGAGATGATCATGTGGTTTTTCTCCTTCAGGTTGTTTATATGGTGGATTACATTGATAGATTTTCGAATGTTGAACCAACCATGCATCCCGGGGTTGAAGTCTAGTTGATCATAGTGGATGATTTTTTTTTGATATGCTCTTAGATTCAGTTTGCCCTTATTTTATCGAGTATTTATGCATCAATGTTCTTGCGGGATATTGATCTGTAGTTCTCTTTCTTAATTGTGTCTTTGTGTGGCTTGTGTTCCAAGGTAATGGTAGCCTAGTAAAAAGTGTTTGGCAATGAACCTTCTGCTTCTATTGAGTGGAACAATTTGAGGAGTATTGGTATTAGCTCTTCTTTGAATTTCTGGTAGAATTCTGTACTGAAGCCATCTGGCCCTGGGCTTTTTTTGATTGGGACACTTGTGATGACTGTTTCTATTTCCTCGAGGCTTATAGGTCTGTTTAAGTTGT